TTTTTTTTGTTAATATTGGCCAGGATTTTGTTAAGGATTTTTGCATCTAGGTTCATGAGACATAGTGGTCTATATGGGGTTTTTTTTGTAATATCTTTGCCTGATTTTGGTATTAGGATTATGCTTGCTTCATAGAATGACTCTGGTTGAAACTGTTGGGTTTTTTTTTGTTTTGTTTTGTTTTTAAATAATTTAAATAGAATTGGAGATAGTTCGTTCAATGTTTAGTAGAGTTCACATATGAAGCTATCTGGGCCAAGATGTTTTTTGGGGAGTTTTTTTATGACCTGCTCTATTACTTCTTTTGTGATAAATCTCCCTAAGTGTTCCATGTCTGTGTCAAACTGAATAAGGTGTGAGTTTCTACGAATTTGTCCAGTTCCTCTAGGTTTTCAAATTTATTGGGGTATACCTTTTCAGACTATTCATTATAAATTTCATTTTGGCTGGTTCTGTTGTGATGCCACCTCTTCTTTGAGCTTTGTATCTTCTCTTTATTAAGTTTCCCAATGGATTGTCCATTTTATTGACCCTTTCAAAGAACCAGCTCCTGGTCTTGTTAGTTTTGTTTTCTATCCACTTGTTTTCAGCCCTTTCCCTTTTAATTTATTCCAGAAGCTATGGGGCTAACTTGTTATTTTCCTATTTGATGGAAGTGTTATGTCATTAATTTTGTTCTTGTTTTCTCCCTCTCCTGCTCGTGTTTTGAAATTCCATTCACACAAACTTTTCTCTGTTTGATGTTATTCTACATCATTCTAGTGTTTTCTTCATTTTCCTTCCATCTTGCTTTTTATTTGAGCGAATTCCCACTGAGGTTGCTGTCTTCTAGGTTGGTGACTCTCTGTTTCACGTCTTCTAGTCTGTCTTTTTGTCCCTGCAATCATGTTGGAAAATTCTGCCATGCCCTTCTTGATATACTGGATGGCATTTTCATCCATTTCTGATCTTTCCAGTACTATGTTGGTTGTACCCTTTGTGATTTTTTTTTGTTTTAAAAAATTCTTGTACCTCTTTGTTTTCAATTCTACGCTACATCATTTGTAACTTCCATGCTGACATGTCTTCTGTCTCCTTGTCTCCGAGTATTCATTGAGTCTGCAATGCTTTTTTAGAAGGCTTGTTTTGTTTTTCCATGTTTGAAGTTGACTGCTGCTTTCTTGACATTATGTGAAGTTCTTCCTGGTATGTGAGATAGTTTCCATTATGACCATGAAGACTATTGATAGTTCCTTATCTTTATGATGTTATTAATAAATTATAAACTTTGAATGTTGCTTCCTATTGAGTTTCCCAATGGCAATCTTCCCTGCTGGCTATCTATGGACAGATCTGTTCCCTATTTCTTGTGGCTAGCTTCTCATTCAGTTGTCCTATGAAGGGGAGTGAGCTGGGGATTTTCCTTTTGTCTAGTAACGGTAAGCTTGCTTCTCTGTCCTGTACTACAGGGATTTTGGGGGAGGAGATTTCCCCTGAGGATAAGCAAAGTATCAGAAGTATGGCACGGGATATACTACTCATGGAAAAGTCTCATGAAAATGACAAGGTCCCAACAGTGCAGCCTCCAAGTCTCAGGATTTGCTAATTGCAATGTACCTGTTTCCTCTCCCAAGACTGGTTGGAAGGGGAGTTACTTGCCCCTGAGTAGACAAAGGCTCAGCAAAATGAAAAGTTTTCATTAAAGCAGCTCTCAATTCTAGCTATTTGCTAATGTTCAAGCATACTCATTCTTTACTCCAGAAGCAGCTAATTGGAAGGGGAGTTATTCCCACCTGAGTAGACAAAGGCTTAGGGAGGAAACGTATTTTCAACAGTTCATCTTCCAATTCCAATTCTGGTTACTCGCTAATGTCCAAGCTGTGTATAGCTGTCTCATTTCCTAGAGCAGGTTTAGGGGAGCAGAGCTATTCTTGCCTGAGGAAACCTCTCCAGATGGCATTTTAGGTAATTTTGTCAAGCTAGCAGGAGAGGGAAAAGGAGTCTAATGAAATTCTAGCTAGAATAAGTTAATTTAGGGATAATTTTATTAATTTTGGGGGATAATAAGTTAATTTAGGGATCATTTTAATTTTATACATAATATTTAATCATGGCCTAGAATATGATGTTTCTTTAACTTAAATTAACACTGCAATCTACCTGTAGTGTAGATTCACAAATTCTAATCCTAACAATGTTATTAGCTGTAGATTAGAACATTTTTCATCTTCCCTCTCAATACTGTGTCAACACTTTCGTTTCCAAGCCCATTTCAAACTCCTGAAAGTGTACATGGTGCAATAATACCCCCTTGATCAAAGAAAAGATTACCTAATGAAAAGCCTCTTTCCAGTCTGACAGATCAAACTGACCTTTAGGGCTGTGGGATGGCCTGTGACCCCAAAAGGAACTGTCATTTTCTCACTAGCTGGTTCTCTGAAATGACACAAGATGGCTGAGCAAAGGCTGTCTCACAAGTTAGAGGAAGAAAACATTTAAGAAAAGGTATAGGAGCACCTGAAAGTGGCAAAAGAGAGAAACCTGGACAAAATGACCCAGTGTTGTTTATGAAAGGTCCAAGCATTTCAGTTTCCAAGATTCTGAATGTGTTTATGTGCATACATAGCAAGACAAACACAAAGACAAAGGAAGTCATCACTGTACCAAACTGAGGATGGACCTGAAGCAGCAACTCCTGGCTCAATGTCTATAATACCATATACTCAAGAGCTAGAGGTCCCAATTCACTGGGTTGGAGGCAGAGAAGAAGATAATGAAAGAATATATGGAAAGATTCCATTTTTCCTTAAAAAACATGATCTTTTAAAATACAAACACAAATACATAAATCTACACTGGAATACAGAATTGTTGTTGTTGTTGTTGTTATGTGCCGTCGAGTCGTTTCCGACTCATAGCGACCCTATGCACAACAGCCCTAAACCCTGCTCTAT